TATATATATATATATATAAGTATGAATACACATGACATACTTGTACGTTATATAATCAAGTATACGTTTTTTTTTTGTAGAATTAACTATTCTTCAATGTTATGATGGCGCAATACATTAGATTAAGATGAACTACGCTTTTAGACTTAAGCTTACTCGTTATAGTAGATATCAATGTAATTGAACAAAGATGCAGTTTACATGTTAAAGTCTAGATTATAGAATAGTCAATATAGGCGAAATGATAATGAATGTAGAATGTAAACTAGTGAAAAGATATAAAACTTGCAGTGGGTATCGGTGTTCCTAACTCTTTATAGTTGCTTTAACTATAAAGTTTTATAAGTAAAAATATATATACAGGGTATAGAAACGTTATTTGATTTTGTAGTTATATTCAATGCAAATTAAGTCAGGACAATGATTTTCATTTATGATGATAAGTTTAATTACAGGTCTGTTTAATTTTTCATAGAATTCAAAATAATTTTTCTACTTACAATATTGCTTTTTCAATTATTTATACCATTTTGCTGAAAAGTTGAAATTATTCTTGGGTTTGTCCAGACGAAGACTACATTTACAAACTCATTATTATAATTGGTTATTTATAATATAATCGTGAAGCAATGAATTATGAATTGTATTACGTAATATTATATATATATAAACTTTATTACATTAAATCCCTGATAACTTAATTTTGTTACTAATATCTAATAATCGTTACGTTATATTATCAAAGTAGTTGTTTGTTTGTTGTTAACCGTACAACTACACAACGAGCTATCTATGCTGTGATCCTCGTTGTTATCGCAACTAGAGTTTTAGCGTGATAATCCATTAAACTTACCTCTGTACAACCGATGAGTTTATGTAAGTAAAGAGAAAACTTTTATTAATTATTGCTGTTACAATTTTTTTCTTCAAAATTTTAACGTGATCATCCTTTAAACAAATATAAAACGTGCATTCGCTCTTACACCTGTAATTAAAAAGCTCAGTATAAAAGTTTCAACCTATTTTTAAAAATATGTGTTTACTATTTATAGCTTAGGGATAATGGATTCTTAATTTGGTAAATTAACTATGTTCTACTTTCTTTGGAATGCATTAGAAGAATGATAGAGTTTTATGAATTTAACTTTTGATTAAACTAAAAGTTTCTGCTGCTTTGACTAATTTTAGTAAGTAGGTGAAACTTCAAAACTGTGGATTAGTTTGTTAATTACTTTCATGTTGCGTTAATTAGAAGTTAATTTTTTATTATGGAGTGATAAATATAAGAAAGAAGCCCTACAAAAGGCTATTGATTCTTGATGGTTTTCTGATCTACAATGTAACAAGTAGGCATATGAAAATTCAATCCATAATTAACGTCTAGTATAACTGGCCTAAACGATCCTGTATTTTTAAAGATTAGCTGATATTTAACCAAGTTTAATTGGTTTATGTTTACATCTTTAAATGTGCTTTAAATAACTATCATTCAAATATGTTAAAGATGCACCACAGCCTCTTTGTAATCGCCTTTGTTTGTTTTTGGATATTCGCGCAAAATTACTCAAAAAGGTATCTGCGGCTAGCCATCCCTAATTTTGAACTGATTGACTAGACCGAAGGCAGTTAATAACCAACATCCACCGCTTACTCTCGGACTTCTTTTATCTGACCGAATAAATGGATTTCACCGTCATCCTTATAACGCACTCACGGTCCCGAAGTCCGGAACGCTCATCACTGAGACACACTTGTAATCATCATGATAAATGAACGTCATAAACAAATTTTTCATTATGCGGGAACATTTGGTTCGGATATTTTTGAAAACTTTCGATATTGATGCGATATAATATGCTTAAAAAGTTGACAGTATATATATAAATATATATATATATACATTTCGATAAATTAACTTTCAGCAAAGTCTAATACTTATTCAGCTAATATTATTTGGAACTTAATTATTTTGTCCCTGATAAATTGAAACTGTTTATGAAACATATATTCAGATATAGATCAAGCTGCATGATATCTCAAAACCTTTGATGCATTGCGAATATCCAGAGCTTCTGAATATGCACGACAAAGCTGTACTTTAAAGCATATAATGACGTATAGCCCTTCCAGTGAACCAGCGATGAGGAGAGTTGACGCTAGTTGTACATAATATTAACTATGGCAAAATAACATTACGGCTCTCTGTTGCTGAAAACAGGAAATTCCTTCATAAGAAAATGAAAGTTAACTCAGATTTTATCTTCTTAGTTAACCAAGGCAGAAAACAAGACCAGTGGAAACATATTTATAACAAAGGTTTAGAGGAGTAGTTGAAGCTTGGTTTATAGTTAATTATTTTACACTGCAGTGTTAGTGAGAAATTTTTGTTTTGTTTGTAGTTAAGCGCAGAGCTACACCATGGGCTATCTGTGCTGTGCCCATCACGGGTGTCGAAACCCGGTTTATAGTATTGTAAGTTCGCAGACTTACCACTCTGCTACAGGGGAGGGCGAAAATTCTTTTGATGATCTTTTTCTTCTAACTTGTTTCTCAAAATTAGTACTTCTATGAGCAAAAGTGAAAGGTAGTAACCACAGAGACTGTTGTTGGTGTTTAACTATCTTTTTCCTCACCGTTTAGTACTCTGTTATAATAAGACCCTGTCATATAGTAGGGTGTTTAGCAATGATACAAATTATTTTTTTGTTTGAAGTTAAGCACAAAGCTACACAATGGGCTAGCTGTGCTCTGCCCACCACTGGTATCGAAACCCGGTTTCTAGCGTTGTAAGTCCGCAGACATACCGCTGTGCCACTGGGGGCGATACAAAGTACGTCAGATACATTATTAAAAAGGAATAAATTCATCACTTTAAGTAACGTTGGATCACAGTTTTGTTTTGGGTCTAAGGTTACTGAAAGGTGATGGTATTCCTCGAAACTGGTTTAAACCTGTTCTGTGAACCAAAACATGTAACTGGCATTTTCTAGAAATTGGAAAAGAAAATATAAATAAAATAATTCAGAATAAATCTATTTGAAAATTGTGTTATGAGATGTTTAGGGTCAAATTAATATGAATCTTACCATATAAACTATTCAGTCATAAAATCCTCCAACGAAAATGTGACGTCCAAGACAATAAACTCAACAACAGTCTTATATTTTAGCAAATTGTTAATCAGAGGCTTACGGAAGGCCTGAACCGCAAAGTAAAAAAAAAAAAGAAAAGAAAAATTGAAGGTCTCATCTGGTACTTACGAGATAATAACACAGTGATGGTGCATCCGTTTAGCGTTACTACTCAACAGTGTGTGACACCTACCATTCCCATATGTGTGTGAAGATTTCATGTAAGCATTGCCATTACTATTGTAAATTATATATTTTCCAGTGATCAACGCAAAACACAACAAAGTTGTTATTTGTGTACTTTATGATTTATATGTATTTAATAATGTAGTACAACACAATATCTCGTACGTAAGAGAGGAGACCTCCAGATTTTTTTTTTTCCATTTTGCAGTTAAGAGCTTCCACAGAGGCTTGCAGAAATAATGTTAAAAGTCTCGTGTA